TAGGCCAAAGCGCAACCACATGTGGCCAAAAAATTAAAACTAAAATAAACCAAAACCAAACTAAAAACTGAACTAAACTAAAATTTATGAAATTAAAATCGACCGCAGGATGCCAAAGAAGTCCGTGTGGGGAGTGCAGTATGGATGGACAGTGCTGTAGCTTTGTGGTGCGAAAAAGTGTTTGCTACTGCTACGAAATAAGTAGGCAGTTATGCGAAGTAATCGTAATGAGCCCGAAACGAGACTGTCACCGGGTCCTTCTGAACTACAAGATGGCAAATTCAAAAGGCATGGATTCTCGCTTACCGCTATGTCTGCATCCAAGACGACGGCAACTGGCATTGCGAGTGACGGCTCGGCGACAATAGGTTTTATGAAGGTGGCTTCGTGAAGTTCTGCCAACGTAATTGGACATTGATTCACAAAGGTGCAACCACACATAAATGAAATTTACAGGAAAATGTTGTAAGTTAGGAAAAAAGTTGATAATCACTCGCAAACCAGCACCAATGCATGTATCAAGGATTTTTTATAATAATGATTGTTATTATTTATAACATAAGCTATTTTAAACTTAAAGGAAATAGGAAAACTTATTCAATTTTTTTAGAAATATAAAATTTCCTATAAAAGTGACAAATCCTGAAAAGGTGAAAATCACTGTGCCTGTGACCAGTAAACGTAAGCGTAATTCTCGGGTCAAATCGCAGACATACTATGTTGTGTTGATTAAAAAACTTTCTTTTCGTCCAATCATTTACAGGTGTTGTTCCTATCAGAGTGCAATTAATTTCAGCTCACTCTCTGAACTACCGTTGAATATTTAAGGGCTTGCAGTATATTCAAGCTTTTTTCATCAATTTAGATGCTGATCTAGACCTTCAAATGAAGCATTTACCTAATGCCGCTGTCGTTCTACCTCATTGCCGAGATAACCGAACCTGTACAGCAAACAGTATCGTGGTACTAGTCGTGTATTTAGTAGTAGACGTAGCGATAGTTGTAATAGTATTAGTTACAGCAGTAAAAACGGCAGTATTTGAAACAAATGAGTCCGACATTAATCAAGAATTAGCCGTTTGTATGTATTTGTTTTCCTTCCCTGAAAATTTTTGATTATATTTCTACTGAAAATGCAATAAACTCACTTTCAGGCCTGGTAATGACATTGTAAATGTGCAAGAGACTGGCTGGATGGGTACTAACAGGTAGCAACAACACCTAATTTTCTGCCCGTTCCGCCTCTAAATTGAGCATTAGCAGAAATCGTATTATGCAACTGAGGATCCTGCCACAGGCTTTAGATTTATGTATCTTGTTTATGGTCCTCATTCCAGGTATGGTAAAAAAAGTACGGTAAAGCAAATTTAGTATTGCATTTTAGGGCAAATAACGTCAGAAATTTGCAGTAAGTATTTATTAAAACTGTATTGTATCCTTGTTATCCCCTGCACTTGCCTTTAGCTGGTCTTGATTGATTAAAGATCAAATTTTCCGTTTTAGAATGGATGGAATTCTTGTTGCTTCTACTGACGTTCTTTTATAGCCTTGCGCATAATTAACATGGGTTATTTCATGAATATCCCGCAACTTCTGATTTCAACCAACCCATGCCTCTTCTCCTTTAACAAACAAGAATGAAAATGCAGGGTTTCTGAGCCTTAAAACCAGCTAAATTACACAGGGACTCTCGGCAAAAGTAGCTTATGTAGCCCCACTCATAAACACCAAGTGTCAGCATTTTGTCCTGCAAAAAT